TCTCTCTCTCCCTCTCTCTTTCTGTGTGTATGTAGCGCAGGCGGCTCTGCTGCTGCTGCAGCGTCAGGGAAGAGCTACCGAGAGAGGCTCCAGCAGCTCCCACCACTTTGGGCAAACTTGTCGGTTTATACTGCTTCTTTCTTTTTTTTTTTTCTTTTTTTTTTTTTTTTTTCCTCTTTCTTTTTTTTCCTCTTTTTTTTTTTTTTTTTTTTTTTTTTTCCTTTTTTTTTTTTTTCCTTTTTTTTTTTTTTCCTTTTTTTTTTTTTTCCTTTTTTTTTTTTTTTCTTTTTTTTTTTTTTTTTTTTCCTCTTTTTTTTTTTTTCTTCTTTTTTTTTTCCTTCTTCTTTTCCGAGTAGGAAGCTTCTCAGTTGCCATTCAACATTTTTTTTTTAAAGCCCAAGCGCCGCTCTGCCGTGAAAGCGCCTTCAGAGCCACCAACACTTCTCTGAAAAGACACAGGAGGGAATACACAATTGCAGATTTCACCCGCCGTGGCGGTGCAGATCACAGGAAACAACTGACTGAGACCATTTGATTTGCAAATAGAACTCTCTCTTTTTCTTTTTTTTTCTTTTTTTTTTTTTTTTTCTTTTTGCAACCGCCTCGCGGATCTTTTTCTTCCAATGTTCTTTTTTTTTGTGCAACCGCCTGGCGGATCTTTTTCCCCCCTCCCCTTTGGCCATTCCGCTCCTATATGGATGTAATTCCGAATCTGTGTTAATTCACGTGGGGGATCCAGTTTCCATCTCCGGGTTTATTTACGAGAGACCGAGTAATCGCCTGTGGACACATAGTTTTTGTGGCTCACCTTTGAACTGAAAGAAAGGATCAAGTTCAGATCTGGTTACCTGCATTGGGACGGGAAGGAAGAGGAGAGAGAGAGAGACAGAGATTGAGGGAGAGGGAGAGAGAGAGGAGAGAGAGAGAGAGAGAGAGACTGCAATCTCATTTGTGAATCGCTCTCAGTGCTGCAGATCCAGATTGCTCTCACACATGCAGTGCAAATGCAGGTAAGGCACACACACACACACACACACACACACCCCAACTGCGGCTGCAAAACCCCAAACTTGGGACCGTCGTGTGTGTCTCTGTGTGTGTGTGTGTGTGCACGCTCGTCTCTCCAGCCTGGCAAATTGTGGGCAAAAAAAAGGGCTTCTGCAGTTTTCTCTGCCGTCGCTTTGTGACTAATGACCTTGCGCAGAGTTGTTAAAAAAAAAAAAAAAATCCTCTCCGGAGAAAGAGCTGAACATTTTAGGCGAGCTCTGAAGATGGATTTGGGTGCTTTTCTGCCAATCAGAGGGGATATTCTGTGGACTGCTCTGTAATACACGGGGTTCTTCTCCTGTCAGCTGTGCGGCTACCGACATTACTGGGATTTTTATGTTTTTCTTTACCTTTTGAATTTTATTATTATTTTTTTTAAAGAACTGCCCATTGCTAAGAGGATTTGGGAGTTTTGCCGGACACAAGCCCTTTGAATAAAGCGAATCACGTTATTTTTTTCTTCCCCCCTGTGTGTGCAGAGAGGGGGGGAGAATAAAGCTAATGCCTTGGTCGTAAACGGCTGAGAGAGAGAGAGAGAGAGAGAGAAAAGAGAGAGGGAGAGTGTGTGAATTGTAGTTAACTCTAGTGTCGAAGAAGACGACCTGGGGGGCTCCGAATCGCTCAGCGCTTCTCCGGCTTTTATTGCAAACCTGGCAAAGTGATTACAGTAAAATCAAGAGAGGAGGAGGAGGAGGAGAAGGGGGAGGAGGAGGAGGAGGAAAATCCCGTCCTATCTACCGAGATGAATCTTTAAAAAGCCAAATACACTGTCCCGTGAACTGTAAGTATAACTCGCAACTGAAAAGGCAGAGAGAGGCAG